GCTGAAGAGGTGGGGGATGGAAAGCAGCGGGTCTGGAGCTGCTGGCTGCTCGTCCCCAAAGGGCCTTGCTGTTGTCACTCCTGGGGGAATTCTGTGCCGCTGCGCGCACACCGAAAGGCCGCGCCTGCGCCCCCCTCCCCTCCCCCAGCAGAAAACTGGTTTCTGTTGGGAAGCAAAGAGAAGCAGCACCAGTGCGCACGCGGCCCACCCCAGCAGCCCAGAGGGTCTCTCCCTGCTCCCGGAGCAGCGGAAGGCGAGATGACGTCCCTGAGGGGAGAGGCAGTGGGGCAGGGTCTGGAAGTGCCCTGGCTTCCAGGAGCGTGGGGCGGGGGGCTAAGGAAAGTTCCCTGCACAGAGCAGCTGCGGTGGTGAACCCCTAGACACCTGCCCTAGCTGCAGGAAGCTCAGACTGGTGGGGGGCAGCATGAGTGCAGGGGTTCAGTGGGGGATTGAGATGCATGGGGGTGGGTTGAAGCTCCCCGGGTCTGCCCAGCCTCCGTGCAGCGGGACATCCTCCATCAAACCTCTCACACGCACGGCGGGGAGCCCTTCTGCGTCTGGAGACTCCCCACCCAGAGCACCCCTCCCGCCCGAATCCGCATCCCGAGTCTCACCCCTGCATACGTCGCCCCCGCCTGACCAGACCCCCCTCGGCCCCAGTGACCTGCACTTAGACTCCCCGGCAGATTCCACGGGAGCCCCACCTGCCCCGCCCCACATGCTGCCTGTCCCCAGGCTGCACCCCACGCAGCTCTGGCTTTTGCCCCATGTTCTCAAACCAACAGCACGATCCCTGCATTTCCACATTGCTTGGTGAATGCAGAGTCGTCAGCAGATTGTGTAAACAGGCTGCGATTGTGTTTTATTGCAGCATTTCAACATTTTTCCTGCAGAATTCCCTCAGGAGTATTTCACAGCCCCTTGATCTCATACTACAAAGGGAACGACCGGCCTCAGCAGGCCATGCAAGCAATCTAGGCTGGAGGCGGGGAAGCCGGGGCCCGTAGGTTGCCCACCGATGAGTTCTCTGCCTGGCTACACCTGAAACAGCTTCTCCTTGGGAAACTGTTCCGTGCCTGACTGCTGGTCGCTAGTTTTCGGCAGCCGCGTCCGCAGCCTCCTTAGCCCCTCGGTAGTGTCCATAGCATGTGTCTCGTTCCTGGGCCATCGACTGTCAGCGCGGGTCAGGACATGTAAGGCCTGGGATGGGCCACTTCATTTTAATCAATGTCAAGAATAAACCTGCTCCTCTGGTTTAGTGTTTGTTTGAGAGAGACTAGCCGGGCCGGGCAGCCCTGTCCTGTGTGCCGCGGAGGCAGGGTGTGGTCCCGAAAACTCCAGCGTGAACCCAACCCTGGTAGCACTTCCGCCAGAGGACCTGAATGGAGCCTAAGGGGACAGTTTTCTCACGCAAGCTGTGATGTCAGCTTGTAGCTGGGGGGGCTGTCCAGCAGCTGCAAGTCCTGGGGGGGTGAATGCTCAGATTCCAGCCAGCCCCTGCGGCTGCTAAGGGGCTTCCCGTTTTGTGGTGGGTATTTGTAGTAAAAATCTTAGGATCTGTGAATTTTTCTTTACGAACAGTGGCAGAGTTCTCTCGTTCCTTCTGGAGCCCAATCGCTGCGTTCCCAAGGAGCTTGGTTGGTTTGTTTTCTTCTAACTTCCAAGCTGGACCCCTTGCTGCATTCGGGGGGGAATTCTGCAACCAGAGCCATGCTGCTGTGTCAGTCCGGGAGTGATGTCCGCTCCGGCTGTAGCGTCCAATCTGGCAGGCTGCATGGAGAGAGGTAACCAGCGGGGTCCCCCAAGGGTCTGTCCTGGGACCAGTCCTATTCAACCTATTTATAAATGATCTAGAGAAAGGGGGAAACAGGGAGGTGGGAAAATTTGCAGAGAATGGCAAACTGCTCACGAGAGTTAAGACCAAAGCCGACTGTTGAGCAGCACAGCGATCTCACCCAAGTAAGTGACTGGGCAACACAATGGCAAATGAAATGGAAAGTTGATACATGCAAAGTAATGCCCATTGGGAAACATCGTCCCCACTGTACTTACAACATGATGGGGACTAATTAGAACCACTCCGAGGGAGAGATCTGTCACTCCAGATTAGCGCCCACTCAGCCCTCCCCCCAGTCTGTCACTCCAGATTAGCGCCCACTCAGCCCTCCCCCCAGTCTGTCACTCCAGATTAGCGCCCACTCAGCCCTCCCCCCAGTCTGTCACTCCAGATTAGCGCCCACTCAGCCCTCCCCCCAGTCTGTCACTCCAGATTAGCGCCCACTCAGCCCTCCCCCCAGTCTGTCACTCCAGATTAGCGCCCACTCAGCCCTCCCCCCAGTCTGTCACTCCAGATTAGCGCCCACTCAGCCCTCCCCCCAGTCTGTCACTCCAGATTAGCGCCCACTCAGCCCTCCCCCCAGTCTGTCACTCCAGATTAGCGCCCACTCAGCCCTCCCCCCAGTCTGTCACTCCAGATTAGCGCCCACTCAGCCCTCCCCCCAGTCTGTCACTCCAGATTAGCGCCCACTCAGCCCTCCCCCCAGTCTGTCACTCCAGATTAGCGCCCACTCAGCCCTCCCCCCAGTCTGTCACTCCAGATTAGCGCCCACTCAGCCCTCCCCCCAGTCTGTCACTCCAGATTAGCGCCCACTCAGCCCTCCCCCCAGTCTGTCACTCCAGATTAGCGCCCACTCAGCCCTCCCCCCAGTCTGTCACTCCAGATTAGCGCCCACTCAGCCCTCCCCCCAGTCTGTCACTCCAGATTAGCGCCCACTCAGCCCTCCCCCCAGTCTGTCACTCCAGATTAGCGCCCACTCAGCCCTCCCCCCAGTCTGTCACTCCAGATTAGCGCCCACTCAGCCCTCCCCCCAGTCTGTCACTCCAGATTAGCGCCCACTCAGCCCTCCCCCCAGTCTGTCACTCCAGATTAGCGCCCACTCAGCCCTCCCCCCAGTCTGTCACTCCAGATTAGCGCCCACTCAGCCCTCCCCCCAGTCTGTCACTCCAGATTAGCGCCCACTCAGCCCTCCCCCCAGTCTGTCACTCCAGATTAGCGCCCACTCAGCCCTCCCCCCAGTCTGTCACTCCAGATTAGCGCCCACTCAGCCCTCCCCCCAGTCTGTCACTCCAGATTAGCGCCCACTCAGCCCTCCCCCCAGTCTGTCACTCCAGATTAGCGCCCACTCAGCCCTCCCCCCAGTCTGTCACTCCAGATTAGCGCCCACTCAGCCCTCCCCCCAGTCTGTCACTCCAGATTAGCGCCCACTCAGCCCTCCCCCCAGTCTGTCACTCCAGATTAGCGCCCACTCAGCCCTCCCCCCAGTCTGTCACTCCAGATTAGCGCCCACTCAGCCCTCCCCCCAGTCTGTCACTCCAGATTAGCGCCCACTCAGCCCTCCCCCCAGTCTGTCACTCCAGATTAGCGCCCACTCAGCCCTCCCCCCAGTCTGTCACTCCAGATTAGCGCCCACTCAGCCCTCCCCCCAGTCTGTCACTCCAGATTAGCGCCCACTCAGCCCTCCCCCCAGTCTGTCACTCCAGATTAGCGCCCACTCAGCCCTAGCCGGGTATGTCCCCAGGGAACTGTGTCTCCCCATTGCCCAGACCATGCACCCCCATCCATTCCTGCACCCCCCTCCACTCCTGCCTCCTGCCCA